CGCGCCCTGCCCGCCGCCCGCAGCTCCGCGCCCACGGGGGGCTGCTGACTCCGGGGGATTTCTCTGCAGTGGGGTCGGAGCTCAGGATTCACAAACAAGCAAGGGCAACAAGGAGAAATCATACAGGTCGATGATGCGCCAGATTCCCAAAGCCTGAAAGTGCTGCCAACTTTGGGGTCCTCTGTGCTGAGCACCTCCTGCTCCCCAATTAGATACAAATAGTAACATCATTCGCGTTTCTTTAGGAGACAGTGTAAGGCTCGTGGGAAAGACTCCCAGTGAAAAGGAGTCCAGGCTTCGTGAGCCCTGGGGAGGTGGGAAGGGGCTGGAGAAGGGCTGGAATGGTCCGGAAGCAACAGGGGTCTTCAACAACAGCCTTGGTGACTGACTTTCATAATTAGGAGTGATGAAACCAAGACTCAAAACACAGTATCATTTGGGGGGAGGGATTGCATAACAATGAAAGAATTTTTCTTTTACTTGTCAAAGAGAAGAGTGAACTAGGAGGCATCTTGGGCAGGGAGAAAAGTGCAACAATGAATGAATGGAAATCCAGAGTCTGTAAATTTTCATTAACATTAATAAAAAAAGATAAATAAAACACACACAACAAAACACCACCATATCACTTTGAGTCACAGACTTTAGACCTCTTAACCCAGTGCTGCCTTCTGCCCTATGTGTGCAGGGCCTCACATTCATTGCCATTGAGTAGAAACTGACTCCTAACTGACCCTCCAGTGGGTTTCTGAGACTGTAAATTGCACCGGAGCAGATTTTCCATCTTTCTACCATGGGGCAGCACCTGGTGGATTCAAACTGCCAGAGTGGGGCCAGCTTGGAGTTAGCATTATAACTCCTCTAAGGCCTAAGCCACCTGAGCTTCCTTCCCTGTATGGCAAATACCCCCGCCGCCCCACCTCCCAACTGCCAGTAATCAAGTTCAGCTTCCAAGGGATTGTTGTCCTTATTTCATATCACTGCTGGGGTGCTGATCCTCTGACCCTGGACCTTTCACAGTCAGGATAGTGCCTTTCAGGCAATGTCTGAATAAATACAAACATTAGGCCTGGGGTCATGGTACTGGTTTGCCCTCAGTTAACTAAACTTATTTCCACCCAGTGCTGTCAATAAAAAGAAGGCTTGGCAATCAGCTTCCTAAGATTAGGACGATCAGGTCCCCAAAGGTGGCCCTCTCTGGCAGCTCAAATCCACCAGGGGGTTCCCACTAGTACTTTGGAGTCCATACGGTTACCATGAGTCAAAACCTACCCAAGGCGATAGGTTGGTTTTGATTTTTGATAGTAAAACTTACTTCTAGTGATTTCTTTCACTGATTTGAAAGTGGTATTTTTTGAGAGATTAGCAGTTGGAAATGAAAAACAATAATTAATTTAGTGTTATCCAGTTGATTCCATCAAAAAGAAACACAATAATACAGAGTAGGGAGTGCTTGTGGCCCATTGGTAAAAAGTTGTGCTGTCAACACAGAGGCGTGTACTTGGAATCTGCCAGTTTCTCTGTAGAGCAAGAGGAGTAATCTCTTCCCATGAAATGTACTGCCTTTAAAAGCCTGCTGCAGGGTCAGCTGCCTCTGAAAACCCGCTGGAGGGTCAGCTATGAGTTGGCCCTGACATGACAGTCTATTACAACAGCATCACAGAGTAGAACTTTCCCCAGGGTTTCCAGCACTGTGGTCTTTATGAACTCAATGACTCAGCGGCATCTAACAAGAAGGAAGAGCTCTGTCCAAGTGGGTGGGTTCAAACCACACACGTTTCAGTGAGTAGCTGAGCACTTGCTACTGGCTCTCTTTTGCATATTTTTGAGCAAAGCCTTTCAAAAAGCAGTAATGAATTTTCAAAAGCATGGAGTCTTACTGTTGTTGTTAAATGCTTTCAAGTTACTTCCAACTCATATGTTCAACAGGACCAAGCAGTGTCTCCTCACAATCATGGCTATGTTTAGGCCTGATGTTTCTGCCACTAATCAGTACATTTCATTGAGAGTCTCCCTCTGTTTGGCTGTCACTCTATCAAGCATGATAAGGACGGATCCCTCCTAATCACATATCCAAAATACCTGAACTGGAGTCTGGCACTTTTCACATCTATGGAGCATTATGATTGTACTTCTTCCAAGAGAGATGTTGTTTTCTGGAAGCCTAAAGTATCTTCAGTGCTCTTCACCCACACAATATTTCAATTCTTCTTAGGTCTTCTTTATTCATTGTCCAGTTTTCGTGTACATAAGAGATGAATGAAAACATCGTGGCATGAGCCACGCATATCTTAGTCCTCAAATGAAAGTTTTGCTTTTTTAATCCTTTCAAGGGGTCGTTTGCTGCACTGCAAATGCCCAGTGCAACATTTTGTTTTATTTCTTGACTGCTGCTTGCGCGGGTGATTGTAGATCCAAGTAAAATGAAACCCTCGCCAACTTCAGTCTTCTGTTTATTAGGACGGTACTTAGGAGTCAAACGAATTAAAAAAATAAAGAAGACTTTCTAATGCTGAAGTGTATAGTGAAGGGTGTGGCCTTGGTTTTGGCCCACGCTGTCAGTGTAATTTGTGTTCATGTGTTGCATTTTGACTATATGGTCCAAGAATACCCATTTTTTTCAGTCTTCTTTGTATGTTTTCTGCATCAGAAGTTTA